TATCAATCAAGAACAAAAATAATGCCAATGGACATTACTGTAACCACTCTCAAATTAGCTGGGTTTATTCATGAGTAAATACCGCAGCAATGGAAAACGTTTTGCAACGAAAAACTAGTTTTATTAGACAAATCCAGGTAGCTCCCTCCCTGTTTCATTCAATGTGCTTCTGTTTGGTTCCTAGTGAATACAATCCTGGTTAGTGAAAGAGGTAGGTGGTCAATATGATTTAGTTTATATAGTTCTAGACATAGTTAATGTATGGCAAGGTGCCACCATATTTATATCTACAAACTGTATAATCCATTACAAAAAAGTATAATTGGAACTTGAAATTGTGCATGTTTATAACCAATTTTTAACAATTATTCATAACCGTATTCCCCCTGCCAACATATCTCCCTACAGTATATCTCCCTACAGTATCTCCTCAGGCGAGTAACTTGGTGAGGAATGTCGTCGACACTCAAGCCAAAGCCTGCCTTTGTCGTACCGCACACCTGTCTAGTTACCTTACTCCCGGCCCTGTCACAACCCACTGCAAATCTATATATTGTCATTCATAAAGTGTTACTCCTCAAAAAACGAATTCTACTGAAATCCCTCTTTTTCTTTTTTCCCCCTCAACTTGGGTGGCTTTGGCTGAAAATATACACAGATAGGCCTACATAACATGCAGATGTTGGTAGATGCCATTTAACTTCATCAGCAATTCAAGAAGTGATCCCTTTTTTTCAAATTAAGTATTCATTCAATAGATACAAAAATCTCATATGTGGGTAACTGCTATTGCAGGGTTGCCGAAACTGAATGCAGTTGATGATCCCTGTGCTGTTGTCTTCTTGAGACCAGAGATGGTCTATGTTGTTATTGCTGACACATCATACACCATGGTGCAATAGTGATCCCTAGTGGACAAAATAGAAGAGATAATTGAGCTGAATTTACCTGAACCTTTTCATTAGTTAAACATTTACAACAAAAAAAGAGAGATATAACACCTACTTATTCAAGGGTTTTTCTTTATTTTTTTTACTATTTTCTACATTGTAGAATAATAGTGAAGAAATCAAAACTATGAAATAACACATGGAATCATGTAGTAACCAAAAATGATAAACAAATCAAAATATATTTTATATTTGAGATTCTTCAAATAGCCACCCTTTGCCTTGATGACAGCTTTGCACACTCTTGGCATTCTCTCAACCAGCTTCACCTGGAATGCTTTTCCAACAGTCTTGAAGGAATTCCCACATATGCTGAGCACTTGTTGGCTGATTTTCCGACTCATCCCAAACCATCTCAATTTGGTTGAGGTCGGGGGATTGTGGAGGCCACTCCATCACTCTCCTTCTTGGTAAAATAGCCCTTACACAGCCTGGAGGTGTGTTGGGTCATTGTCCTGTTGAAAAACAAATGATAGTCCCATTAAGCCCAAACCAGATGTGATGGCTTATCGCTGAAGAATGCTGTGGTGGCCATGCTGGTTAAGTGTGCCTTGAATTCTAAAAATCACAGACAGTGTCACCAGCAAAGCACCCCCACACCATAACACCTCCTCCTCCATGCTTTACGGTGGGAAATACATATGCAGAGAAAATACGTTCACCCACAACGCGTCTCACAAAGACACGGCGGTTGGAACCAAAAATCTCAAATTTGGACTCCAGACAACATTTCCACCGGTCTAATGTCCATTGCTCGTGTTGCTTGGCCCAAGCAAGTCTCGTCTTCTTATTGGTATCCTTTAGTAGTGGTTTCTTTGCAGCAATTCGACCATGAAGGCCTGATTCACACAGTCTCCTCAGAACAGTTGATGTTGAGATGTGTCTGTTACTTGAACTCTGTGAAGCATTTATTTGGGCTGCAATTTCTGAGGCTGGGTAACTCTAATGAACTTATCCTCTGCAGCAGAGGTAACTCTGGGTCTTCCATTCCTGTGGCGGTCCTCATGAGAGCCAGTTTCATCATAGCGCTTGATGGTTTTTGCGACTGCACTTGAAGAAACTTTAAAAGTTATTGACATTTTCCATATTGACTGAACTTCATGTCTTAAAGTAATGATGGACTGTCGTTTCTCTTTGCTTACAGTGGCTTGCGAAGTATTCACCCCCCTTGGCATTTTTCCTATTTTGTTGCCTTACAACCTGGAATTTTTATGGATTTTGGGGGGGTTTGTATCATTTGATTTACACAACATGCCTACCACTTTGAAGATGCAAAATATTTTTTTCTTGTGAAACAAACACAGAAATAAGACAAAGAAACTGAAACTTGAGCGTGCATAAATATTCACCCCCCCCCCCCCCCCCCCCCAAAGTCAATACTTTGTAGAGCCACCTTTTGCAGCAATTACAGCTGCAAGTCTCTTGGGGTCATCAGCAATTCAAGAAGTGATCCCTTTTTTCAAATTAAGTATTCATTCAATAGATGGCACATCTAGTCACTGGGTTTTTTGCCCATTTTCAAGGCAAAACTGCTCCAGCTCCTTCAAGTTGGATGGGTTCCGCTAGTGTACAGCAACCTTTAAGTCATACCACAGATTCTCCATTGGATTGAGTTCTGGGCTTTGACTAGGCCATTCCAAGACATTTACATGTTTCCCCTTAAACCACTCGAGTGTTGCTTTAGCAGTATGCTTAGGGTCATTGTCCTGCTGGAAGGTGAACCTCCGTCCCAGTCTCAAATCTCTGGAAGACTGAAACAGGTTTCCCTCAAGAATTTCCCTCTATTTAGCGCAATCCATCATTCCTTCAATTCTGACCAGTTTCCCAGTACCTGCCGATGAAAAACATCCCCACAGCATGATGCTGCCACCACCATGCTTCACTGTGGGGATGGTGTTCTCGGGTGAGGAGAGGTGTTGGGTTTGTGCCAGACATAGCATTTTCCTTGATGGCCAAAAAGCTCAATTTTAGTGTCATCTGACCAGAGTACCTTCCTCCATATGTTTGGGATGTCTCCCACATGCCTTTTGGCGAACACCGTGTTTGCTTATTTTTTTCTTTAAGCAATGGCTTTTTTCTGGCCACTCTTCTGTAAAGCCCAGCTCTGTGGAGTGTACGGCTTAAAGTGGTCCTATGGACAGATACTCCAATATCCGCTGTGGAGCTTTGCAGCTCCTTCAGGGTTATCTTTGGTCTCTTTGTTGCCTCTCTGATTATTGCCCCTTGCCTGGTCTGTGAGGTTTGGTGGGCGGCCCTCTCTTGGCAAGTTTGTTGTGGTGCCATATTCGTAAAAAAATTTTATAATGGATTTAATGGTGCTCCGTGGGATGTTCAAAGTTTCTGATATTTTTTTATAACCTAACCCTGATCTGTACTTCTCCACAACTTTGGCCCTGACCTGTTTGGCGAGCCCCTTGGTCTTCATGGTGCCGCTTGCTTAGTGGTGTTGCAGACTCTGGGGCCTTTCAGAACAGGTGTATATATACTGAGATCATGTGACAGATCACGTGACAATTAGATTGCACACAGGTGGACTTTATTTAACTAATTGTGTGACTTCTGAAGGTAATTGGTTGCACCAGATCTTATTTAGGGGCTTCATAGCAAAGGGGGTGAATACATATGCACGCACCACTTTTCCGTTATTTATTTTTTAGATTTTTTGAAACAAGTTATTTTTTTCATTACACTTCACCAATTTGGACTATTTTGTGTATGTCCATTACATGAAATCCAAATAAATATTTTTTAAATTACAGGTTGTAATGCAACAAAATAGGAAAAACGCCAAGGGGGGAGAATACTTTTACAAGGCACTGTATTTGAGCTGTTCTTGCCATAATATGGACTTCTTCTGTATACCCCCCTACCTTGTCAAAACACAACTGATTGGCTCAAACGCATTAAGAAGGAAAAATTCCACAAATTAACTTTTAAGAAGGCACACCTGTTAATTGAAATGCATTCCAGGTGACTACCTCATGAAGCTGGTTGAGAAATGCCAAGAGTGTGCAAAGCTGTCAAAGCAAAGGGTGGCTATTTGAAGAATATAAAATATAAAACATATTTTGATTTGTTTAACACGTTTTTGGTTACATGATTCCATATGTGTTATTACATAGTTTGTCTCCACTATTATTCTACAATGTAGAAAATAAAATCCCTTGAATGAGTTGGTGTTCTAAAACTTTTGACCGGTAGTGTACAAACCATATTTAGATGTAGTTTGATGCATTGCATCAAACTCAGAACAACAGTGGTCTTTGTGTGAAGATAGAAGACAGTAGGGAGATGTTGAAACTAAATTCAAGACAGAAATTCCCACTGACTAGTTTTATATTTGATGTGAAAGCTTCTATTATGCATTTGCCACACTCACAGCAGCAATATTTATACTGTGTCAAGGCTCACTGAGATAAAGCTACCTATGCGGGAAAGGCTTTATGATAATTTCTGATGCAGTGACAGGCCCCTTGACTGGCTGAAGAATGTCAGTCGTGCACCCTTACGATTTCGCCTGTATGAACACCTTGACAGAGGCTATATCACCTTGGGGAATAATTTCAGCTCGAGGGCCATGTCGTGTTTCAAAAGTGAAGGGCTGCACAGACCAGACCGATACATTTGTCAAAAGCAATTTCCAGGCCAGAAAAAAATGCAGTTATTTAAAAACAGAAAGTATGTCAAATTTATAATGGTCCCATCTAGATTTAGACATTCAAGAGTGGCATGGGCTCGCAGATCCAGGCAGCAAGTAGCCCACTACTGGGCTTTGAAACTTTTGCCTCAGGGGGGTGCACTTCAGCAAAAAGCCCCATGATATTTGATGTAATTCAAGGTTTTGTGCCAGCACATAAACACGCATCAGTCCACACAACCCTATTAGTCATATTGTCACTTAAATAGAGCTGGAAAAGTTCACATCCATGGAATAAACATGCTTGGTGATGTAATTATAGTATTTCACTCATTGCAAGTCAGGGACATGTAGTAGACTATACCAGATTTATAGGGCACAAATGCCCACTGAAAAAAATGTAAAGGAACAGATGCACAATACCGTGGCGCTTTATTCAAATACAACTTCAAACATGGAAATACCACAGGTATGCCAAAATGTACACGATAAAAACAGAACACACAATAAGTGCAGTTGTATCAACAAAGCCAAAAATCAAAACCAGCTTCTCTGAAGCCACTTTTCCTCAGATGAGTAGATGCAAGTTCATACATTTAAAAAGTCCTAAAGTTATACCAAGCAAAACATTGTTGAACCATTTTGAAGCAGAATGTCCTGAGATGACCCCATGCCACTGTTTGCAGGGTTATACAGTCTTCTGCTGTCCCTTCTTTCCAATCAGTGACTTATGGATATGAGGGATGACACCTGAAAAAGGGAAACAAATGATAAGTGGAATCAAACATGACAAATCAAAAACCAAGAAAATGGTACAATAGCAATACTAGTGGGAAACAATACAAAATAACTGTTACACTTACCACCACCAGCAATGGTTGCTTTGATGAGAGAATCCAACTCCTCATCGCCTCTAATGGCCAGTTGCAAGTGACGTGGAGTGATACGCTTGACCTTCAGATCCTTTGATGCGTTTCCTGCCAGCTCCAGAACCTGAAGTTGAAGAGCTTGCAGGTAAATATCACTGACTAGTGTGAGCCATGAACTGCGATTGCATACATGGTACTGCATGGTTTTATGCCATAAAACGCCACAAAATGAGTATTTTGAACATGCGTTACCTCAGCAGTTAGGTATTCAAGAATAGCCGCGCTGTAAACAGCTGCAGTCGCGCCAACTCGACCATGGCTCGTTGTTCTGGATTTCAGATGTCTGTGAATACGGCCCACAGGGAACTGAAAAACAGGGCGGGAAACGTTATATGCATTTGTTTACCCAACTAGCCGTCAGTAAATTGCGAGCAAATTCCACTGAAAAAGGTTTGCGTGACTCCCCACCCTATTTGGCAGTTTGTTAGCAGATTACTAACATTTAGTAATCTTTAGAAAATGGTGTAGTTTTGAGTGGCTATAGATTCACCCTCACAATATTAGTTATAGTTAAATCGTTCGCAAATTAACAATAAAGTTAGCCTACAATACCACACACGTATCATTGGCGCTAGCGTTAGCATTGCTAGTAAGCAACGAATGAATGCACTCACCTGCAAACCCGCCCTCTGTGAGCGCGAAATGGCCTTTGTCTTAGTCTTCCCGGAGTCTTTTCCAGCCTTCCCACCAGCCTGCAATACACATTTTTATGGTATGGATTATTTTATGTATTGATGCAAGACAGCCGTATGTGTAACTAGCCTGTTTATTCTACAGCGCGTGTTAGGGTTTTGATGATAACCAGCCAATGGCAAGCGATTCACATTACTAATGTCAGCTAGCTAGCCAACGTTAGGTAAAGAATATTACTTTTGCTAACTAACACAAATACGGGCTAATCCTCACGGTAAACCCATTGAATAAAGTGATGGATTTAGTATTGAAGAGTAAAAAAAAATACCATTTTATATGATATCCTGACTATTTGCAGCTGCACAGATCCTCGCCGAGCACTTGTCTAGTTTGAACAACTAGTTCCGCCTCAGATTGCCATGCATTTATGAAGCGGGCGCTTGATCCGGGACTTTGCATGGAGAAAGTCAGCCAATCAACTCTCGAATTCATTTTTTGGCATAGCGCTTAACCAATCACAATGCAAAAATACTCACTGTGCGGGAAAATGTGACACGTCATTTCTCACTGGATGTTGGATTATGTCGTTTCTATTCTATTCTCAATTTATGTTATTATATTAATCATAATGATTTCAAGAGCAAAAAAACAAACAGGCAATAGATCATGACAGGTCAACCAATAGAGGCCAAGTATTTAAAAGCTGCAGCCTCTTCTTCTTCTTCTTCTTCTTCTTCTTCTTCTTCGGTGAGGTTTAATCGCGGTTGGCATCCAATATGTTGCATTACCGCCACCAACTGAACTATAGTATACATCCATTACACTTTGTGATACAAAATGAGAAAAGGGGAAACGGGAAAAATGTAATAAAAATAAAAATATTACCCTACCAACTAACCCTACACTCATTAAAACCCACCACCTTATTCCACTACTTTAACCCTATCTGATCCTACCCCAGGCCAACACAGGACACTACCACTCAACACACCATGTAACTCTTCTGAATTCCAATCTCGTACCACCAAGTACTTCTCTGCAGCTGCCACCACATCTATTTTCTGTGACATACGTTTTTCTCTGCGGTACAGTTGAAAACCATTGCTATGAACTACACTACCAGTCAAAAGTTTGGACACACTTTTTCTTTATTTTTAAATTTTTTTTTACATTGTAGAATAATAGTGAAGACATCAAAACTATGAAATAACACATATGGAATCATGTAGTAACCAACAAAGTGTTAAACAAATCAAAATATATGTTATATTTTAGATTCTTCAAATAGCCACCCATTTGCCTTGATGACAGCTTTGCACACTCTTGGCATTCTCTCAACCAGCTTCATGAGGTAGTCACCTAGAATGCATTTAAATTAACAGGTGTGCCTTCTTAAAAGTTAATCTGTGGAATTTATTTCCTTCTTAATGCGTTTGAGCCAATCAGTTGTGTTGTGACAAGGTAGAGGGGTATACAGAAGATAGCCCTATTTGGTAAAAGACCAAGTCCATATTATGGCAAGAACAGCTCAAATAAACAAAGAGAAATGACAGTCCATCATTACTTTAAGACATGAAGGTCAGTCAATACTGAACATTTCAAGTTTCTTTAAGTGCAGTCGCAAAAACCATCAAGCGCTATGATGAAACTGGCTCTCATGAGGACCGCCACAGGAATGGAAGACCCATAGTTACCTGTGCTGCAGAGGATAAGTTCATTAGAGTTACCAGCCTCAGAAATTGCAGCCCAAATAAATGCTTCACAGAGTTCAAGTAACAGACACATCTCAACAGCAACTGTTCAGAGGGGACTGTGTGAATCAGGCCTTCATGGTCGAATTGCTGCAAAGAAACCCCTACTAAAGGATACCAATAAGAAGACGAGACTTGCTTGGGCCAAGCAACACGAGCAATGGACATTAGACCGGTGGAAATGTGTCCTTTGGTCTGGAGTCCAAATTGGAGATTTTTGGTTTCAACCGCTGTGTCTTTGTGAGACGCGGTGTGGGTGAACGGATGATCTCAATATGTGTAGTTCCCACCGTAAAGCATGGAGGAGGAGGTGTGATGGTGTGGGGGTGCTTTGCTGGTGACACTGTTTGTGATTTGTTTAGAATTCAAGGCACACTTAACGAGCATGGCTACCACAGCATTCTGCAGTGATACGCCATCCCATCTGGTTTGGGCTTAGTGGGACTATCATTTGTTTTTCAACAGGACAATGACCCAACACACCTCCAGGTTGTGTAAGGGCTATTTTACCAAGAAGGAGAGTGATGGAGTGCTACATCAGATGACTTGGCCTCCACAATCCCCCGACCTCAACCCAATTGAGATGGTTTGGGATGAGTCGGACGGCAGAGTGAAGGAAAAGCAGCCAACAAGTGCTCAGCATATGTGGGAACACCTTCAAGACTGTTTTGAAAAGCATTCCAGGTGAAGCTGGTTGAGAGAATGCCAAGAGTGTGCAAAGCTGTCATCAAGGCAAAGGCTGGCTGTTTGAAGAATCTGAAATATAAAATATATTTTGATTTGTTTAACACTTTTTTGGTTACTACATGATTCCATATGTTTTATTTCATAGTTTTGATGTCTTCACTATTATTCTACAATGAAGAAAATAGTAAAAATAAAGATAAACCCTTGAATGAGTAGGTGTGCCCAAACTTTTGACTGGTACTGTATATCACTTATTGGCCTATCCCTCTGTTCTGGCACAGATCTACTATTCACTGGGATCCTCTCAGAATCCCTAATTCTTGATCCACCCTCCTCTACTTTCTTCACTGCCTCAGCATACGACATCTTCTGCACTACTCTGATCACGGCCACCTCAAGCTGCCTCTCTCGCACCGGACACCTCTGATCCCCAACAATGTGGCCACCCCTACAGTTGACACACACACATTTTCCCACCAAAACTACACATTCCTCTGTCTTATGTCCTCCTGCACACTTCCGACATCTTGGATTCTCCCTCCTACACACTGCTGCAACATGCCCATAAACGTGACACCTATAACACCGCAGTGTATTCGGCACAAAAACTCTAACAGCATAAATCATATATCCTAACATTACTTTGTCCGTTAAAAACTCAGAATCAAAGCTCAAAAGAACATACTGTGTCACCTCTGTTTTGAAAGCTGCATTCTCCAAAGATGGAGAGGTTAGTTTGAAATTAGCTAACTTTATAGAGAATTACATAACATCTATTTGTGCTGTGTGTGGACCTAACAGTTTTATTGAAATGAAATAGCTACAAATGTTTTGTTCATAATCAACCAAAAATGTGCATGTTCAAGTTTCTTCTAATGAATGTAGTGTGAAAAATGGCATTATGAAACACAAATTGGATTATGATTCCATGATATTCAATTGATTCCTTGAGGGGAAAAAATCACGATTAATTACCATACAGACAGTCAACTGAAATAAGGCAACTGAGAGGATAACAGTCTACAGAGGGCTACATGATATCCATTTAAATACCAACTTCTCAACAATGCATATCTCAAATAAAGGGAATGTTTATGGCAAAAGATCCCTTCCTTTCTATGAACAACTATGCCATTGTCAAGTTGAATGTAGGGTTTGGGGTTAAAATTGTGTTAGGAGCTAAGCCTAAAATAGGTTAAGCTGACTTACTAGCTCTCTTTGCTGATATCTCCTTTATAGAGGAAAAATGTACTTATGTACTGTGATATGTGGTTAGCCCACCTAGCTATCTTAAGATGAATACACTAACTGTAAGTTGCTCTGGATAAGACCGTCTGCGAAATTACTAAAATGTAAATGTAATGTAAATGAAGTTATGGTGTAAATGAAGTTATGGTATACTAATAGAGATACATAGCTACCCATTTTGCACCCTGACCACATAATTGCTCTGATGCCATCGTTGGGTAAGGAAGGGATTGTGTAGCAATGGCCAAACCCATCCGTTCAACCATCAGCTTGTTTATTTCTGTTGGACAAAAGCCCTCTGACCCGGCTCCATTGGGACTGTGCAGCAAAGCGGCCAGGCACACTGAGTTCCCTCTGGGAGAAAGGAAAGTGGACCCACTCCTTCCATGAAGCCGGCCTTACCAACATTGGTAAAATGCATAAACTTAAGACATGGTGGAAAACCTATTTGGTGAAAAAGCAATGTGTATTGGTCACCCTGCTAGACAAGTAACATCTTGAAATGTTGTTGTAAAAAAGAACTGTGGCACAGCAAAATTGTTTATAAAGGAACACTGATGACTTTCCATATAACATCAGTTAATATATCATCTTAAAGGGGCAATCTCCAGTTGCTACAGTGCATTCGGAAAGTATTCAGACCTCTTCCCTTTTTCCACATTTTGTTACGTTACAGCCTTATTCTAAAATTGTTTTCCTCATCAATCTACACAAAATACAACATAATGGCAAAGCGAAAACAGATTTTTAGAAATGTCTACAAATGTACAGTTGAAGTCTGAAGTTTACATACACTTCGGTTGGAATCATTAAAACTCGTTTTTCAACCACTCCACAAATTTCTTGTTAACAAACTATAGTTTTGGCAAGTCGGTTAGGACATCTACTTTGTGCATGACACAAGTAATTTTTCCAACAATTTTTTACAGACTGATTATTTCACTTATAATTCACTGTATCACAATTCCAGTGGGTCAGAAGTTTACATACACTAAGTTGACTGTGCTTTTAAACAGCTTGGAAAATTCCAGAAAATTATGTCATGGCTTTAGAAGCTTCTGATAGGCTAATTGACATCATTTGAGTCAATTGGAGGTGTACCTGTGGATGTATTTCAAGGCCTACCTTCAAAATCAGTGCCTCTTTGCTTGACATCATGGGAAAATCCAAAGAACTGTTTGGCCTTTGCAGCATTGAAGGTCCCCAAGAACACATTGGCCTCCATCAATCTTAAATGGAAGATGTTTGGAACCGCCAAGACTCTTCCGAGAGCTGGCCGCCCGGCCAAACTGAGCAATCGGGGGAGAAGGGCCTTGGTCAGGAAGGTGACTAAGAACCCAATGGTCACTCTGACAGAGCTCCAGAGTTCCTCTGTGGAGATGGGAAAACCTTCCAGAAGGACAACCATTTCTGCAGCACTCCACCAATCAGGCCTTTATGGTAGAGTGGCCAGACGGAAGCCACTCCTCAATTAAAGGCACATGACAGCCCGCTTGGAGTTTGCCAAAGGCACCTAAAGGACTCTCCGACCAGATCTTGGTCTGATGAAACCAATAATGAACTCTTTGGCCTGAATGCCAAGCGTCACATCTGGAGGAAACCTGGCTCCATCCCTACAGTGAAGCATGGTGGTGGCAGCATCATGCTGTGGGGATGCTTTTCAGCGGCAGGGACTGGGACACTAGTCTGGATTGAGGGAAAGATGAACGGAGCAAAGTACAGAGAGATCCTTCATGAAAACCTTCTCCAGAGCGCTCAGGACCTCAGACTGAGGCGAAATTTCACCTTCCAACAAGACAATGACCCTAAGCACACATCCATGACAACGCAGGAGTGGCTTCGGGACATGTTTCTGAATGTCCTTGAGTGGCCCAACCGATTGAAGAGACCTGAAAATAGCTGTGCAGCGATGCTTCCCATCCAACCTGACAGAGTTTGCGAGGATCTGCAGAGAAGAATGGGAGAAACTCCCCAAATACACGTGTGCCAAGCTTGTAGCGTCATACCCAAGAAGAATCAAGGCTGTAATCGCTGCCAAAGGTGCTTCAACACATTACTGAGTAAAAGGTCTGAATACTTATGTAAATGTGATATTTCAGTTTTTTATTTTTTATAAATTTGCAAAAATGTCTAAACCTGTTTTTGCTTTGGCATTATGGGGTATTGTGTGTAGATTGTTGAGGGGAAAAAAACAACAATTTAATCCATTTTAGAATAAGGCTGTAACGTAACGAAATGTGGAAAAGGTCAAGGGGTCTGTATACTTTCCAAGTGCATCCATTTTTGGACTTAATACATGAATGATATGTACCTACGGATTTTAGAAGAATACAACTTATAAATCCCTCATAAGCTTAGTTCAACTGTCGTACCCCATCAGAACCCAAAATAGAAACTTGTTTTACTCCAATGTCTGTAAACAAAGTAAATGTAAACAAACTCTGTATAGCCTCAAAACATGGTTCAAACGATCATTTTGAGATCATGGATGGTCAATCCTTGCATCCATAGCTCTGTCTATGAATTTGAGTAATTACATTTCTCCAGCCCCATCCCTCAGCTTTTTAGCGAAACAGTGGAGGCGAGGACACTTTGTTATTGTTTCAACTGCTGATTGCCGCTTTAAGCATTTGCTTTCATATTTACAGATATTTGTCCAGATATTTTGTGTGTATTGCATTGTGTATTGCTTTGGTAGGGTAACATTTTGTATTACAGGCATGTCATTTCCCTCATTCAATAGAATAGAATAATGTTGTGTTTGTGTAATATTGCCTTTCCCACACAAGGTGGCAGTAAGTTAATAGTGCTTCCTGTATTGGTGAGAAGGACCTTTACTCTTTGTCTTTACCATCAATAAGAAGATGCTTTGGGCGCCTACTTATAGTTTGCCTTTAATGTCGATGGGAGGAGAATGCTTACAGCTACACTGAACAAAAAAATAAATGCAACATGCAACAATTTCAAAGATTTGACAGAGTTACAGTTCGTATAAGGAAATCAGTAAATTGAAATAAATTCATTAGGCCCTAATCTATGGATTTCAAATGACTGGGAATACAGATATGCATATGTTGGTCACAGATACCTTAGAGAAAAGGTAGAGGTGTGGATCAGAAAACCAGCCAGTATCTGGTGTGACCACCATTTTCCTCATGCAGCGTGACACATCTACTTCGCATAGAGTTGATCTGCCAGGTACAGTTGAAATCGGGATTCATCCATGACAAGCACTCTTCTCCAGCATGCCAGTGGCCATCGAAGGTGAGCATTTGCCCACTGAAGTCGGTTATGACGCCGAACAGCAGTCAGGTCAAGACCCTGGTGAGGACAACGAGCACACAGATGAGCTTCCCTGAGACGGTTTCTGACAGTTTCTTTGGTTGTGCAAAACCACAGTTTCATCAGCTGTCCGGGTGGCTGGTCTCAGACAATCCCGCAGGTGAAGAAGCCAGATGTGGAGGTCCTGGGCTGGTGCGGTTACATGTGGTCTGCGGTTGTGACGTACTGCCAAATTCTTTATATTAACATTTGCTTCTCTGGCAACAGCTCTGGTGGACATTCCTGCAGTCAGCATGCCAACTGCACACTCCCTCAAAACATGAGATGTCTGTGGCATTGTGTTGTTTGAGAAAACTGCATTTATTGTCCCTAGCACAAGGTGCACCTGTGTAATGATCATGCTGTTTAATCAGCTTCTTGATATGCTACACCTGTCAGGTGGATGGATTATCTTGGCAAATGAGAAATGCTCACTAACAGGGGTGTAAACAAATTTGTGCACACAATTTGGGAGAAATAAGCTTTTTGTGCATATGGAAAATATCTGGGATCTTTCACTTCAACTAATTTTCTTTTGTCATTTCAGCAGACGCTCTTATCCAGAGGGACTTACAGTTAGTGAGTGCATACATTTTTAATTTTTTCATACAGGCCCCCTGTGGGAATCGAACCCACAACCCTGGCGTTGCAAACGCCATGCTCTACCAACTGAGCTACACGGGACTTATGAACTCATGAAACATAGGACCAACACTTTACATGTTGCGTTTATATTTTGGTTCAGTGTAGTTTCTGTTCCAGTACAGCACTTATAGTTGAAATGTTTTTAGTTGAAACTAATAGTTGAAATGCTTTGTTGCAAACCCAATTCTGGATTCAAGATGTTTTTTTTTCTTCAGTTATGGCTTGCTTCTGCCTCTCTGTCATGTATGGCCCAGTTCTGTAGTGACTGGGATATTGTTGAACCATGGACAGTTTCCTCCCATCCAAAACTTTGACCTCTAAAAAAAATCCTGATCCATCCACCTACTTGTTTTGTAGTTTTCAGGTTGTACAATTCTTGCAGACATAGAGCAATGATTAAACATTATCCAGGAGTTGGGAAATTATTAAACTATTTTTCATATGGCACTAATGCAGTATGGGGTCATGGGGTCAGGGCCCCATTTTTTTGCAACACAGAAAAAGTAGCATCAGTGTCAAAAGAGGACGTATTACTCAAAATATTAGTTGCATTTATCAAAAGACCTTCGATGGTGTGGTGTCTAAGAGAGGCTGATGATTGGAAATTAAACAGTGCGGATACAGAGTATTTTAAGTCCATTTTGACAAAGCACAGCTTTTTTGGCACTGTCAAAATGAATACCATAGTCAGCTCGTATCATCTTCAAGACCCTGGTGCTTGCCTATGGAGCAGCCAGGGGAACAGCACCTCCTTACCTTCAGGCTGTGCGCAAACCCTAAATCCCAACCTGAGCACTCCGTTCCACCACCTCTGGTCTCTTGGTCCTCCCACCCCTACTGTGATGTGTGTTGTTGTCTCACCTAGCTATCTTAAGATAAATGCACTAATTGTAAGTCGCTCTGGATAAGAGTGTCTGCTAAATGACCAAAAGAATGTGGATACCTGTTCGTCGAACATCACATTCCAAAATCATGGACATTAATATGGAGTTGGTCCCCCCTTTGCTGCTATAACAGCGTCCACACCGATCTCGACAAACCCATTTCTGTATGGACCTCGCTTTGTGCACGTGGGCATTGTCATGCTGAAACAGGAAAGGGCCTTCCCCAAACTGCTGCCACAAAGTTGGAAGCATAGAATTGTCTAGAATGTAATTGTATGCTGTAGCATTAAGATTTCCCTTCACTGGAATTAAGGGGCCTAGCCTGAACCATGAAAAACAGCACTATGCATTGGGGCAGGTAGTGTTCTTCTGGCATCCGCCAAACTCAGATTCGTCCGTCGGACTGTCAGACGTGTGATTCATCACTCCAGAGAACGCGTTTCCACTGCTCCAGAGTCCAATGGCGGCAAGTTTTACACCACTCCAGCCGACGCTTGGCATTGCGCATGGAAACCCATTTCATGAAGCTCCCGACGAACAGTTTTTGTGCTGACGTTG